CCAAGGAGGGGGAATGCGAAATGGTGGAAGAAGCCGGAGCCATTGTTCAGCAAAGTTAAAAGAGGAGCTGTCCTTGCTCGCTTGCTCAGTCATGCATACTCAATCCGCCCGGGCCCGGGTCCCTATGGAAAGGAGGAGGGCGATTCTTCCCCTCTTTTTAACATTCCTCTCCAGGCCTGGCTGTATTTAAGCTGCTTTCCTCCGCCGAGGAGGAGGGAGGGGGATGGTCTGAAGTTCCTGTACATTTGCATTTTAAGCACTTCCAGCGCTGAGCAGGCCACTTTGTTCCCGGCTCCAGCAGCCCTGGCTGGGGTGCTGCTCCAGGTGGGTCGGATGCCCTCCCGAAGGAGATCCCAGGGCTGGCCTGCCCCAGATGCTTAACCTCTGCCTCCATGCGCACTTTTGGTTCAGGCTGGGCTGCACGTACTTCTTTGTCACTCATCCTAGCCCCCACACCCCTTTTCCATCATTTCAAAGGGTAAAAACAGTGCCCAACTCCAGTCCTCTTAAAAGAAATGCTATCTCCTCTGCATTCTAAGGACCCCGACTATCTCAAGGTTTGGACTTCAGGGTGTGTGTTGGGTTTTTCCACCCCCCTTCTTTCCAAGACTTCCAAGCTTTCTGCTGGGAGTCCATCACAAAAGCTGCATTGTTCGCTTTAGGGAAAGCCACCACAATTGGATCTAATTGAGCCTGACACTATATCCATCTTCCTCTACTTGGAGGGAGGTGTGAGCTCTGTCTTTCCTGCACTAAGAAAAAAAGCTTACAGTAACTTCTTGACAGAAAAAGAGGATGTATGTATCGATGTTACCAACAATGGGAATTCCAGACCAGGTTCCCATTACTGCTGTAAATGTTCCTAGGGTTGGCAGCGCTTCCAGCTAGGGATGGGGAATGATGCAGCTCTTGTAAGGTAGGTTTGTTTCTCCTGGATTTGAGTGACAGTGGCATCTCTTCTTATTAAGCCCCATGCTCACATGGATAATGGTGGGGTATCTAAGTCTAAATATAACGTGTGTGCTCATAAGTTCTGTAATCGGAACTAGGACTGGATTGTTTTTTCCTTAAAAAAAAAAACCCAAAACCCCAAACTTCCTCTTCCCACTTAAAAAAAAAAAAAGGCAAGCCAAAACATGGCCCACATGGCCCACAATGCTGTTTAAGGGGAACCCAAGCCTAAGGAAGCAGCTGAAACCAAAGGCTCTGTGAAGCCCAGCGTTTAGATGCCCTGGGCTGTTTCCGTAGATGGAGCAAGTGCTCCTCATGCCCTGGTGTGACAGCACCTCCTTGGGCACGGACGCAGGCCTCCCCGTCCGGAGAGGCCAGGGCTGGGGGAACGCATGTGTTTACTAGTAAAGAGAAGCGTTTCTTAAAATAAATAATCCATTGCCAGCAACCATAGACCAATTACCATATGACTCCTCAGGCTAACAAGGAAACTTAATTTTCACTCTCCAGCCGCTCTTGAATTTTTCAAGATGACTCAGTTGGCAACTGGGGTAGAAAACCATAAAGAAAAAACCCCAAAAAAACCCTGCTATTTGGAAGCGAGCTGGAAATCTCCCATCCGTGTCAGCAAGCACGCAGTGCCCCGGCAGCGGCTTTGGTG